GTTCCACATAAAGGCAGAGCTGAGAGTGAAGAGATGATCACAGATCCAGATAAAGCACAGGCAGCAGCTGCACACCAGGCTGGGCCGGGCGGGGGGTGGGGGGCGTCGCTGTCAACAGGCCCGCATTTCCTTCTGAAAAGGTTCTGGAACTTGGTAGAGGTGGCAGTTGCACGCATGGTAGATGTGCCAAGTGCACTTTTTTTTTTTTTTAAAGAAGTTTTTGCCTAGGGTACACGTGCTTGCCAACAGAGAGACAGACAGTGAGAGAGAAAGTGGGAATTCATATCCCCCCTGCCCAAAGAGATTGGTCACACTGCAATCCCTTCTCTCTTCTCCTGGGCTCTCAGGCATGCACTTACACACAAGTACCCAGCATGATTTTCAAACCACCAGGTCTGGGAATCGAATTACAGTCGACCATGTGGGAGTCCAGCAACATAACCACTACACCATCTGCCTGCCCCCAAGTGCCCTTTAAGATGTTGAGTTTGTTCTGTGAATTCTACCTCAGTAATAGTAGTAATAGTTTCCCTGTGGCTGCCATGAGTGCTGATGTTCAGAGCACACCTCAGGTGGTTACAACTCTTTGAGTCCCAGGTAGTGCTACTGACCCCAACCCAGGAGATTGGGGCACCTGTAGGGCCCATCCCAGTGGCTCCCAATCTCCCCCAGACAGGGCTGGCCCAGGTCGGCTGAGCTCGGTAGAGAGGGGAACATCAAAGGGGATGCCATCAGGTGCCATGCCACCTGCTTCCATAGATAGAAGACCCAGCTTTGTCCACTCACACGGCCCTCCTGGCTATGCCAGCCAAGGGTTCTGTGCTGCCTCCTGCTCACCTGGTCCTTGAACATATCATCCGTGACATCCTTCAGATTGATGAGCACGTTGAAATATGCACCAAACACACCCATCTCCAAGGCTTTGGCTGCCACCTGCAAGGACACCAGGAGTTGCTGAGACCCACAGATGTCAGGGCCTGGGCCAGGGACCTGAGTGAGCCCCTGGGCCTCATGAAGCCTTCCAACCACATTGATCATGACTGAGCACCGAGCCGCCTAGAGAGTCTCCACTCAAGAGGCTCCATAGAGGGCTGGGTTAGGGCCCCTAGGAGAAACTTCATCCCCTACCCCGGGAGGGATCCCAGCACAGGAGAGCAGTTGTGGTGATAACCAACTTGGCTCAGTACCACTAAACCCTCTCTGGCCTGGGGAGGTCATGCTAGCTGGTTTTGGACAAATCTGGAGCAGGGTTGTCACTCTAGAGTCAGAGTCACTCTCACTACCCCTTGGCAGCCTTGAGCTTCAGGCTAATGGCCTATCTGCCACTGCCCAGGGCCCTCCCAAGATGGAGTGGACACTCTCTGGGGCCTCGGGACACTGAAAACAGGCATCTTTCTTACAAAGACTCTGCAAGTCACAGTCCTTAACCCTGAAGAAGTACAGAGTCCTTGGGCTCCAACCAATCCCACTCAGTCATCTTGGTCTTGGGGGCCTCCACGCCCAGCCTTAGATGTTTTCTAGAATTAGGGGGTAGGATGAGAGGATGGAGTGGCTTGGGAGACAGGAGGTCTGGGGTGTGCAATGAGGTATCCCCAGACCCATTTGGGGTTCTTACTGTCTGGGGAAACCATGAACACCCGAATGGCCTTACTGGAGCAGCGGGTAGAGGCTGCCCAGGAGCCTGGCTCAGATCTGGCTTAGCCCAACCTCCCCCCTGAGGTCCAATCCCTGCACCTGCAGGTCCGACCGGCAGGCCAGGTTCCCACACAGGGCCAGCTCCTGCAGTGCTGGCCACAGCTCTGCTACCGTCTCTGCCAGTGTCAGTGGCACAGCTACCGCCTGCCTCAGCCCCTCTTGCAGGGCAGCCGCACGCCTGGAACAGAGGGACAGGGTCAGGTAGTGAGCCAAAGTGAGACAGGATGACCACTTAGTTCCAAAGCACATGGGGGGCATTGAAAGGTGACAAGACCCTGGGAAGGTGCCCAGTACCCAGATCCTGGTAACACAAATTCCCCAGTGCCAAGGCTGGCTCGAGTGTATGTGTGTGTGTGGCAGGCTGAGTGCAATGCACCTGGCCACTGCAATGCTCACCTGTCTCTGTCCTCAGGGGTGTTCTTGGGCAGCTTCATTGCTTCCTACCAAGAAAATACACACACACACACACACACACACACACAAAGGAGCAAGTGGTCATGAGGAAGGACCGTGTCCAGGCCATATGGTGTTCCCGGGGCAGGCCAAGGGCCACTGGTCATCCACTCCTCCATGTCAGTATTTCCCTCTAGGGGCTCAGGCCACAAGGGTAGACAAGTTTTGGGGGAAGGTGCTTCTGCTGGGTCTGGGGCTTGCAGCCCTCAGCATTGACCCAGGAGCAGAGGGTGCCTTGCTAGGTTGTCAGAGACATAGGCTAGGTGAGAGGAGGCCCTGTTCCTCATGAGATAGAGGGCCCAAGAGGTCCCCTGAATCCTCACAACCTATAGGCCCAGGGCAGCCTGAGCTCTCCCTCCTGCTGCCAACTCCTCCAGGCCAATACCAC